AGACTTAGGAGTTCTCTCACGACATGATTTAAGATCACTAGAAAATACAGAGAAATTGTACCGTGCGGGACTTCGTATGCTCTGGGCATTACGACGCAGTTTCTCCACATGGTCCGAAGAAACCGTCCCTCGTCTATTCGCCTCGCTCATTAGACCAATCCTTGAATACGGTGCCCCAGCTTACCATCCGATAACCCAATGGGAAACTGAAAAACTGGAGAAAATACAGCATATCGCAACTAGAATGATTCCAAGTCTACGAAAGCTTCCATATGAAAAACGTTGTGAAAAGCTCGGACTCTACACACTATCCTATCGCCGAGTAAGAATTGATCTTATTATGACCAATCGAGTACTACACTTGAATCACTTCCCCATACTGCGGCTAATCTTTCACCTGCGAGAACCCTGTAACACCCGAGGACATCGTTACAAACTCAGGGTCCCCAGCATGAACAAAGTTTCACATCAGCTTTGTATCGAACGAAGAATCGTAAACTTATGGAATACACTACCAGAAGGATTAATAGAGGCCGATTCTGTGAAGTGTTTTAAATCCCGTATCGACGAGTATTTTGGAAACCTGTGCTTTTGTGAAACGATGCACATACAGTGCCAAAAGAAGACATTGTATGTCCGTATTAATGACGCTAGTACAAATTTCTAACCGAACACGGCTAAACGATTACCGGACCAGACACAACTGCTGATAATTCACAAGTAAATTTTGATGTTTCGTAATTCGATAGAGTTGTACAGAAACCTTTCTACTTGCTCTTAAATACAGTCTCACACACAAAGGCAAATGAAGTCAGCTCTTCGCCACATAAGCAAGTAAATCCAACCAGACATGTTCATCGTCATTCGGACCCCAGCCAGGCAGTCGGGATGCACCAATCGATGCTAATTTCGAAGCGAGGGTTTTCAATAGTATTGACCAGGTCATTGCTTGGCCCTCTTTCCTCTTACTCTATCCAGATTCCGGTCGCGCAAACAACGCACGTCAGGAGAGTCGGTGTGCTGGCATGCGCAACACGTGATGGCAGCCTGTTGCGTGTCATAACGGTGCAATGCAATCGCTCTGCTTACACGAAATATGCGACGCGACACACTGCAATGTTCACGAGGTGCTCCCGCCGGACAAAAGCTAAGCTGCGAAGACAGCGATGGTCGAACATAGCTATCCTCTTTATCTCTGTCGAACTGATGGGCCAGGTTTCACAACCGTAAAGGAGGGTTGAACGCCCGGTTGAAAGGTCAACTCTGCTCTTCAGGGCGAAAGTGAGGTCACGTCAGCGCCACAGGTGGCGGAAATCGAAAAAGGCCTCCAGCTTTTGCTATACGGTTTGCGATCCCATCTTCGATCACCTTAGTGCTAATATAGATGTTCAGTTACTTTGAATTACCGGACGGCTTCTAGCTGATCACTACAAAGGGTCAGCGCAGGGCTGAGTCCCTGTCAATCTTGGAGAAGGACTTTGCACTTCGAAAGAGCAAAGCATAGCCCAAAAAAATTGACAACCATTGCTCATCTGTCCAGTACTGCTTGGTATGTTTGGGCGCTGTCAAATATGAGGGAAATGTCACCCGCATACTCCAAGTCAAAAAGTCGGTTATCTGGAAGCAGCTCCACCTCTTAAAGGTTGTGTCTAGCGAACACTGTCTCCATGACGAGGGTAAAGAGGAAATATGGCAGCGGGCTTCCTTATCCCACACCGCATGAGATATCGAAGGGTTGCGACAATTTAACATAGACCCACCCTATGCCGTCACTATGCGCGTAAAGCGCTACGACAGTGTTTATGAATTTATGGGGCACGCCTAACCGGAGCATACATTTCCAAAGGACACATTGATCCACTAAATCTAAGGCACCTTGGATGTCGATAAGCACGCCTACGGTGGGTCACCAATATATGTAAAACATAGGGTCCCCTTCAGCCACTTGATCAAAGCAGAAAGAAGACATAGATTGCGATATGTCAACATTTCGATTGTTCTCCTCAGTCGCATACACAATACAAGCAGAAACACATACACAAATATATACATGGAAAAAATTGGCATACCAATCAAAACGTCAAAATGAAGACCAAGGCAATCTAATTGATTGCTTTGATTGAGTTGAGTACGTGTTTCTGCTTGTATTGCGTTAGCGACTGAGGAGAACAATCGAAATGCTGACATATCGCAATCTTTTTTTTCATGCTGATGCTTGAGAGGAAACTAAGTGGACAGATTTCTCAGCTGCCGTATTACAAATGATATGTGGATGATATCCTTGTTTTCGGTTCCACGAAGATGCAAATCGAACAATTAGTAGACCAACTTAATAATGTTCACGCCAAGCTGAATGTTACTTATGTATTCGAATCGAATGGGCGTCTTCCGTACCTCGACATTCTCATGAGTCGCAGGGATAATGGGCTGATTAAGCGATCTGTATACCGGAAGCCAACGTCGTCCGGCCAATATCTACACTCCACTAGTTTCTCACCGATGGCGCACAAGCGCGCGCTGGTGAAAACGTTATTCACTCGGGCCAGACGTATCTGCTCCAACGACTGCCTGCCTGAGGAGTTTGAGCTGATCACTAAGACACTTATGAAGAATGGCTACCCGAAGCGATTCATAGACAAACACAGCCAAGTTAGACCGCCCAAGGAGATGGTGCTGACAGCCCCTAAGAAGAAAACGTACATTGAGCTACCATTCAAGGGTGACACCGCAGCAAAAAGGATAACCAAACGCATTGTCTCGGCCATTCACCGAACATACTGTGCTGCGGAGGCGGTAATTATCAACAGAACCCGAAAGTTGCCATTACCTTCAGTAAAGGAAGATGAACCCGTCGGCGCCAAATCACATTGTGTCTACCAATTCGTGTGTGACTGCGGTATCAGTTACATCGGCAGGACCGAACGGGTTTTAGATTCCCGAGTGAAGGAACACTTACCAAACTGGGTTCAGCGCGAAGTTACCCAATCCACCTCCGATGATACGTGTTCGCGTAAGCCGCCAGCGTCCTCCATAGGCAGGCACATCTTGGCGACTCGTCACCGGGTTAATCCCTTATCAGCTTTCCGGATCTTGTTACGTCATACTAATGCACGCCTTTTACGATTTGCCGAGGCCGTCGCGATAAGCCGAATTAGACCAGCTTTGTGTGTCCAAAAGCAATTAGTTGTCAACCTACGGTTGCCGTGGACCTAATCTAACAACAATGACCACAACCATAAATTTGATTGGTTTGACTGTGCCCTGTAAGACATATAAAAGGATTTCCCTGTTATTGTATTAGTACTGACGAGATAATACGAAATGCTAGCATCTGCCAATATTCGTCTTCTCATTTCGTTGTTCAAACTACTGAAGGGAACTAACTGTTTTAAATATCGCAATCTGTCTTCTTTCTGTTTTGACTAACATATGTGATGATGCCCCAACAATTAACACGAAATAACGATGTGGACGATGCAACCTCAATTTCGACGAAATCCGGCTTGCTCCTCGCGAATCTGAGTTTCACAAGGGCTAGTAAGTCTGCGGAGAACGACAGAGGCGAGCAATTTAGTAGCAATTGTGAGCAGACTCATTTCTCTATGACTGCCGCCATCCGAAGGTGAGTCTCCTTTGGGGTTAAGACGCAGCGGCTGCAGTCTGTTGAGATAGACTTCTGTTCCCTAAGCTTCATTACCAAATTGTGCAAATCACCTACAAGAGCGATTCCCGTTAATTTGACGTGGGCTGGTGGAATGGAAATATTTCGGTATTGCTCCTCACAAAAGACTGGCACGTCAAGACCGAGGTTTCGTCCTAGTTTGAACTCATCAGGTGAAGATAGCCTGGCGGAACTCTAGCTGCCTTTGCGGCCTTATTCTGTTTCAACGGTCTGATCTCAAGTTCGACTTCTGCATGTGAGAGCAGATCCAGGGAGACAGCCCAGGGAGAAGAGCAATCAATGCTCGAAAAAGAAAGTGATAACGCAAGTTGGTTGAACTGCTTCGGCCCGAGGCTCTAAGCGTTTTGATAAGCTATGGATTGTCTGTATACTCTCGTCGCGTATGGTTCTGCTAACACCAGGTCACCGTCTGCCAGTTTCCCGTGTCAAAAGAAATAACTTCCGATGTCTACCAATGGCAGCGGTTGTTTCCATCTCAGAGGCAAGATGGGAGCACCAGGATTCGAAGTATCTCATCAGGTTTTCATGGAGTTTTGTCCTGAGAGTTTTAGGATTCTCACTGGGTTCGCTTCTGGTCGGAATACGTCGGTGAGTATCCGGAAGTTCCAGAGACTGTGTGGAGACGCAATGTGCAGGTTAGCAAGTTGATTTGTCGAAGGAGTAAAACATGGGTGTCCTGGCACTCGTCTCTTCTACCTACGCAGCCCTGATGGCTATGCATAATAAACTGAATGGATCCCTTTACATTTGTGTGAACTTTTCCGCCGACCTCAGTGCTGCGCTGAAAGCCACTAACGACTTCAACCACTAACCGATCTCAAGCAATGCTCAATGATGGCACATGCTTCATCAACATGTACTTGGCAGATGCCTGCCTACAGATCGAAGTTGGTTCTGAGTTTGGATTAGGATATCGTGAAGAATATGATTAGTTCCATAGGAATCATATACAAGGGAGATTTAATAGTGACACTTCATGACGTGAAGACAAACTTGCGGTGGTTAGTAGGAATGTGAGGACCGAGACCCGAGAAAATATCTGGTACAGCGGAGAAAAGATGTGTGGTTGACTGCTAGCTGCATAAACCGATTAGCATACGGGACGTGCATGATTTCGTATCAGTTGGAATGAATTCAATCGATCAGACACACAAGCACGAACAATCCACTAGTGAACGCAAGCTGATTTGAGAAACCGAACATGCAGGGACAAAAGTTCACAATGAGCGTTTGCAAACAGCAGGTTTGGGGACACCGAAACCATGTATCATAAACAAAGACGACGTAATTAATTAATAACCACCAGTTTTGTACTCACTCAAATGAACAACTCTGATGTGCAGTTGCATGTGGTGCTTTGTAGTAAACGAAGAGGCACAGTGCTCACATGTAAATGGACGTTGATCTGGATTGGGAAAAAGAAAAAGAGGTGGAATAGTGAATGATGGGATGAATAACCGAAACTTGTTTACATCGCTGTATCGAGCCCTGGCAACTAGTGTAAAAAGATTGGATCTAAAATACTCACCGATGTTTGCCACTCCTAACAAAGCGTCGTCCGAATACATAACCAACCTCATCGAGCAAAGAAAGTTACAGAACTATGAACTCCCGCACAAAGACCTATGGCATATCCGAAGTTTGCTGCCTGATGTTCTTGAGTTGATAAAAATTCGGTTATCAAGAAGTGTTTAGTAAATTACTGCAGTGATATCAGCTCTGTCAAGTATTTTAAAGACTGCGGTTTTGTGTCTATCCTCATATACTATTCGTTCCCATTATCCATCCCCGTACACGGTATGTGTGTTAAAGCGGAATATTCATCCCTCATGGGTAGATAAAGCACATTCTTGGCATGAACACATCTGAAGACGCACCACGCAAACGGTGATAATTCTAGTAAAAAGCACTTCATAATGCCAGAGGATGGTGTCTATTCTAGTAATGATTCGATACTGAGTTTACGCGCGAATCAACGCGTCCATCTTTACTCTTCGCATTCATGATTAAATGTATACAAAAATTCAGCAAAAGAAAAACAGTGTTCAACACCAATTGCAATAGGTGCAGCCGCGTAGTGGAAAGTTTGTGCTTGTACAAACAGCCGCAAGAACTGTCAAGGTTGTGCACGAGTCTCTACCTTATTAGTTAACCGGTTTCATCTACTTAGACAAAACGTTTCATTAGTACGTCCTACCAACACTTCGCTCCTACGCAACCACCACCAATTGCGAGTCAGCTAAGGATACTGTGAGTGTTTCCGGATCACCTACACAGGCTCGAAGCAGTGACATCCGGGTTGCAAGGCAGACGCCATTTTCTTTGGGCACCGGCCGTATTGGCGTCTCCAACTATAGTCTTCCTATTTTGTTTTATTTCTCGCTCGACTTGCCAAACGCTGCGTGAGTTAGGGTTGTCTTTGGTGGCAACACTCATTCTAGTGCCTGCTCGTCTGGTATGCATGTGATTCTACCGTAGCGCTGCCGACCGTATTACTAAACTTGGCAACGTTACAGAGGAAGGAGAAACGATGTATTAAGGTGTAGAATCCACCATATCCCTTTAGCAAACGATCGTTTTAACTAGCTACATTGGTGTCTTATACAAGTTCGGACGCCCCCTTTCAACATTTCCAGCTGTCTGAGACAAGGATGGACGTTTTCACTTTTCCTCTTCAACGTCGCAATAACGAAGTCATGAAGCTTGGGTTAGCCGGGGACGACCTAGAAAGTGTAGGGCTGTTTCTAGTAGAGCAGCTTCTTAACTTCGAGTAAGCTGACGACCTTGCCCTAATCTGTAATAGCTCCCAAAAGTGCCAAGCAGAGCTGTAAAAGTTAGCATTACAAATGTGTCGCTTCGAGATATACCTTGCACTCTCAAACTGCGAAGTGTTCCTCCAAGATTGACAGGGTCTCAGCTCTGTGCCGACCCTTTGTGGGGATCAGTTAGAAGTTGTCACCTATGTTAGCGCCGGTGGATTAGTTGAGATCACAAAACGTATAGCGAAACTTCGAGGCGCATTTGCCGATGTCCGCCATCTGGAACGTCATCACGACACCACTCTCGCCCTGAAGGATAGAGTATAAAATGCAGCCTTGCGTTCAACCCTCCTGTACGTTTGCTAAACTTGACCTATCAAATCGACAGAATCCAAGAGGCTAGTTACGTTCGATCATTGCTGTCTTCGCAGTTTAAATCATCTCTAGTGGGAACATAGAGTGAGCAAGTGAACCGCTCAGCATCGTTATATCAAGCGCCAGGCACCGATAGGTGGCCACGTGGGGTGCATGTCATCACACAGACTCCCGTGACGTGCGCTGACTGCGAGATCGGTGTCTAGATGAAAGACCAGAAAGGCCAAGTAACGACTTGATCAAGATGTATGAAAAACCTCACATCGTAGTTGGCATTTCCAGAATGCTGGGCTGGGATCCGAAGGAGGACAAACGCGTGTGGCTGGATACACAAGTTGAAATGGTGAAAAAGCGACTTCAATGAGGTTTGGGTCCCTTCCAACAGCGATCTCACACCTGATGCGTAAAATGATATTCAGCATTTTGTAGTCTGTAATACTCAGTCTTATCTTCGTTGTAGTGCAGCACATTAGCTCAGATGTGTTTCTCACCCACAGCTGATGTTTATTAGTGATGATGATGATCCATAGCCAAGCCAGATCTTTATTCCTGTCCGGTCACTTTTGGAATATTGCTCAATCTTATACAGTCACAGACACGAGTGATTTGCTATCACTTAAGCGTTTTCGCCGATCACGAAGGTGAGTCGTCCCCAGTGACATACCATGGTAGATGCCAGCTACTGCATATCGGACCGTGTTAGCTACGAAGGTTTAAGATGAACCTAGTATTCTTTTATAAATCGCAACGGAATCTAAGCTGCAGGTTAAGCTGCGAACTCAAGATTCTTCAGGATAGTGACAACAACATGGGGAACAGAAAATGTATTCTTCTTCAGCAAATGTTTGTACCAAAAAATACGTGTAAACAAAATATTTTTCACTTTGCGATAATGGATACGCTGCAGTATACCTACGGTCTCTTAATGAAGATATCTAAAAATGGCAGGCTGCCATGCAGTTACATTTCATGAAATCCCGATAGGTTGGGATGAATTGAATTCAAGATGGTTAACAGCCGGGCAAAACGTTCGCCGCTGGTGGATACCAGAATGTCACCCACATACCGTTCGTACAATTTCGTTTCACAAAAGCTGGCAACAACTTGCCTTTGGATCAAGCCGAAAGAAGTGTCTGCAAAAATTAGGACTGAGCTAAACAACACCGTCGATCGGTTTGCATATCGTCCCACAAACTCAGAAGGCGGGTATTCTGTGCAAATTTGGATCATATCCTTCGAAATTTCCAAGGGGAAGCCAACCGGCATATGTTAGCTCAAGATGAAATGACCTAAACAGTCGGCTGCTTCCGGAGGCACGCTTGTGAATAGGGAATCCACGTCTGTAGAGTACATGAGTTCCGAACTTAGTGAGGAATGTTCCAGGGCTTCTGCCAATCCAAATGAGTCTTTCAGGTAAAGTGGATCGGGGAGCTTTATCAAGGGGTCTAAGAGTTTGTTTAGCCATCGAGCAATGTTGTGATAAAGCGAGTTGTTTATGCATATAATCGAGCGTAGTGGTATACCTGGCTTGTGCAACTTGGGTGCACCCCCTCCTTTTCGGTGTTTGCGTCCCAGTCGGTTTCGACTGCCTACATTACGACTCAGAGGGTCTGCAGTCCTCTTGCTACTTGCTTCTCTACCAAGAGGTTATTCTCCGGTGTGGTGTCTAGTTGAAACTCACGTCTACACCCCCGGGAATGACTCGACTTTCACATTGCAGTGGCGGTGGAAGGGAAATTATGTTTAACGTTTCTAAAAAGAAGACTCCCCGTTTACGATTTCCAGTAGATGACTGCCGGCAATAACAGTGATAAAATCCGGCTGTACAGCTTCTAAATGCTGTGTCGTACACAGTTGCTATGCGGAAAGTCCTAGCTTGTGGGGCTAAATGCTGTCTTCTGCACAGTTCGTAAGTAGCATGGTAGTGGAAAATGAGCACGGCTACATCATGGTCAACTGTCAATCATGTAGGTCCACGGCCGTCACCCATGGCTTAGTGACACAAGCTGCTGGCATCCGGAAGTCATGGATTCAGAACCCAACAGAGGTCCGATGAAGGCGAATCGCTGACGAGACCCAGAAGGTCGAAACAGTGCTGTCTGGTGTTTTTACAGACATGCCAAAGTCTGTTAACTGACAATGGACTGTGATGGATTACCTCTAAAAGATGAAACGGTTCCCATCAATTTAGTGCACGAATTCGCAACAAGCGGCATTTTCAAATAAAAAGGGTTAAGTTGCGCTCGTTATTCCACCGTAGAGACAAAGAGAAGAGCATATGAAGCAGTGGAATTTTCGTGTACCGTCGATTGGTTGCAAAACTGACGGAATGAGTTCAGTCGGTTGCGCACCAACGAACGCTGTACCGAAGGCCAGCACACGTAGAACAACCGGGTAGAAAAGGAGCACCAGTGGTAAGGAAAATCAAAATTGCTGCGGGACGAGACGCAACTGCACTAGGAAAACGAAATAATGGTTGAAAACAAACTCTAACTGATTCTACGATCAATGCATGTACAACATAGGTGGTAAAATTAAAATATGACTGTGCTATTAGTGACGTACTCACGTAAGTGAACAGAGTTGAAGTGGTTTTGCAATTGCCACTTTCGAAAAAACGAAGAAGAACAGTGCTCACACGTATGAGGGCGTTGTTCTAAGTAGGGAAACAGAAAGTAAATATAGAAAGTGAACGCTACACAAGTTGCGATTCACGAAGGCCTTAATGATGAGTGTTGAAATCGAGAAATCTTCATGAAGAAAACAATGCAAATTATCTCATAGTATAGAGGACAATAATGGAACACTGTATGCGTGTGGCACCTGAGGGCAGAACAAGGAAGTTTATTTCATAGGAAAGGTAAATTGCCCGATATGCTGATTTACTCCTGCGACGTGAAGGGTGCACAGTTAAAGGGAATCCAACTAAAACGACGATGGCCTTCGGGAGCAGATGTAAACAGTGGAGCTGACTAAAGGGAAAACCAATTTGTTCGTGTTGCCTCAGAGTATATTCTTTGTTATTCTGTCAGATCAAGCAAATAAAAGCGATTGACTACTTTCGTGCCCTTCCAACTTCCACTTACAAACAAATATACATTAATGGAGTCATGTCAATCGTTGTCAGCTATGGACACTTTACAACAAGATTTCAGGCAGCACGTATATGCCTTTAACCGCAGCATACGTGATACCTCAACATTTTTCACATTCTTTCATGTGATAGAGGAAGGGGTATTGAAGTGTGGGACGCTGGTACTTCTGCTGAACGGTCGATGTGTCCGACAAAGGCAATGTGCATCTTTCCCACAACAAACGACCCGAGTGCAGTGACTATAGACTATGATAACAACTTCAGTTTGTTTTATCAGCGCCCTCATCGTTCTGTTTGATTAGTTGTGAAAAGATTTAGTCTGCCGACCAGCAAAGTGACTCTTGGTTTTTATTGGTGGTAAACCCGGGAACCACAATCACGAATCAGTTTAACGGGATTCGAGGCTGTGTGCGAAATATCATAAATCACCACTGTGAGAAATAGTTTACCCTGTCATTAGGGTTACATGCACCATCATTACCTGCAACGATCAGTCCTAAATTGTATGCAACTTCATTGGTTTGAAAATGTTCATTAGAACATCATGGTGAAAAGGTAAAGTAAAGTCAACAGACACAAATGATCACGTAGGGTCAAAACCACAGCAATCTAGTTCTGCTAACGGCGTGAATAAACAGTAGATTAGTCGGACGAACAAACTTCAGCATGGCTTCGTATAAAGCGCGAGTCGTCTGGTAGACCAAGCCATTAGGCTTTGGTCTCGTCAAAGAACCAGGAGTGGCGTGACAAACCACTAGAAACCTGCGGTTCAAGCCAGATCAGTCTATCACAATCACGCCTCTCAAGACCATACAGGTGTCTCGCGGGATCTAATTATCACGGATCCAACAGGTGGAGGGAAACACCAGTTTCTATGACGCACTAATCGTTTATCAATTGTAGCTAGCCGAGAATTTTGGGAACACATACTCAACAAATTCCCACATCTCCATTCTAGGACGAAAAAACGATCACAGCAACGCCGCGAGCAATTCCTATTTCTTGATGCTGTGTGGATACCATATAAGTACGACTGTCCTTCGGCTCCATGAACTAAAACGTCGATAATTCACCTACGCCCACACATGATGTCCGACAAGTTGAGCGATTTATCCGACTAGGTAGCTGAATAATCTAGTCCAGTTGAATCTCTACTTGGAATTGAGAAACCACTTTGCTCCTTAAATCGAGCCTAGGTGTTTGTAGATACAAAGCACAGCTTGCTGACTGAAATCCACTTCTGCTTTGGCGCACGTGTTGTTTACTAGTCTACCTCCCTACTAGAAACTGCTCCTGACTGCACCGTAAACTTCATCAATGTGGACACACACTACCAGTCTTACTTATAAGCGTAGTATCAGAGCATTTGCTAAATACACAACTGGAGCCGAGCAACATGTGACCAAAGTATGTAAAACACTGTAGTTAATTGAGCATGTTCGTGCAGTTATGCTTCGCGCAAGTCGAGATCAAAATGTAGTTATCCATACAATAGAATCTGACTTATGTGCCACTACCAGGTACCTCAACACGCTTACACTCCGTTGCTAATCACGGAGCTTTAGATGGAGAGTCTTGTATGAACATATGTGCACGCCACGCTTATATATACAGTTCATTTGCTAGAAGTCAAAAATACAACTGCTGACCGAACTGTGTTACGATTTCCGACACACTCCTAGTTACATCAGATAAAGGATTAGGTTATCTATTCATGCTGTACGATGAGACGTACAGGAGACGGAAGCATCATTACATGTGCATGGAAATGGATAGAAAGGACGACAGCATAATATCAAACAAATGTTGCGAAACCTCAAAAGTTGAGAGCCATTTAAACAAAGTGTTATGGCAACAGCGGGTCTACGGAGCACACTCCCAGCTATATAAACCACCAACTAGACTAAGTAGTCCGGATCTAAAAAATATATATTCAAGGTACACTCGTCAGTTCAAAATGTTGAGGTAATAAGATACGGAAATATTGCGATTTATGTTGAACTCGCAGACTTCATCGTAATGATGCTGGTGGACATTACCGTAGTGCGATAGTCTGCGTGATTCAGTGATCAACTGAACTAGGCTGGGTGGTGTTTTTGCATTTTCAGAGTCACTCATACGAAACTGGTCAATGGTTAGAGGCCTGACACACTCAGCCTCCTGTCCCTCCAGGTTGGGGGTTGGAATGAGGGTGGCGCCTTATTCCTTAAAACGCACTCTTAGTAGCCCACTGCCAAACCCGCTGCACTGCGATCAGATTTTAGAACCGGAGGCTTTGACTGAGTACCCTCATCGTTATCCTGCCAAGTCCTGAGCAACGTGACCATATCCTGCTCGCACAATACAACCATTAATTTCTCTCCACATGATCTCCCGATGCTCTGGCTGCCGCACAAAATAAGTAACAGCGCCCTACCTGCCGCATCGAGCCGAGTGGAAAGAGGTTTGGATGCTACTGCTCAAGCCTTCCCGTCTTCTTATTCCCCCCTTACGCTCTTTATCATTATCATCCCATTCTAACCTCACCCCCACATTTTCAAACCCCAATGAGTTACCTTCCCTACCATGTTTTGATAAGCGTCTATCTTTTAGTTTAAACTGAAATACAGACGAGAGCATCACTCCTGCTTTGTCGGTAAGCCCATGTTCAACCAAGCGGATAGACTTAGTTCATCTGCTTCCATTTGGACAACTCGATCCTTCCTCAGATTAGCAAACCTCAACGTACGCACACTGTTACAGATCGGTTAAAAAACAGTACTTGCCAGAACATTAGACACTCGATGGATATCAGCTGCTTATCGGAAAGCCGCCTACGAGATTCGAGGTCTGCTCACTTTCCGGTCCCTTCAGGTGACACGAGCAGTGCTTTCTCATCGCGCGTATCCAGGGACGACGTACCTTCGAGTGCGGACAAGCCCGTGTTTGTATTGTTTTAAGTCCTCGGACTGAAGCTGCTCTGGCTGTATGGATCCCAATCAGTGGCGTGCAGGACTAGTAGGTGTCTGATTGTCACCGCAGCCTACGTGCCCACAAACTATAACCATGACTAGGTAAAAGACGACTTCTAGCTCCAAGTAAACGAGCTATTCAACAGAGAGGAAGCACGGACACTAAATGCTGGCTGGAGATCTGAACTCTCAAGATGGTAAATTATTCACTGAAGAGCTGCATATGGGCGGCCAGTATGGGGTAGGCTCACGTAATGATAACGGTGGGCGATTATTTCATTTGTGTCAAAATGTCCGCTTATTTCTTCCAACCACTAACTTCCGACACAACACCCGCCGGGGAGTAACATGGAGCCCAACAGCCTTAGACCATCCTCGGACGCAAATCGATCACATTGCGATCAGTTACCGCTGGAGGCTGCGTCAAAAACTGTCGCTGGATTTGGAGCACATGTGTGGACACATCATGCACGTTTATGTGCTCATCTGCGGACGCGTATTTGCGGATGCCGACGACGACACTATGACTATGTAGACACCAGCCAACTGGTGAAGTCAGATATTCTGAATGTGTATCGAAGTACGCTGGCATTCGGGCTGAGTAAGCGCTCAATGAATAGAATAGAAGGTCACTGGGCGCATGGTCACCAGACCTCATGTGGTAAGTCTCGTAGGCAACATGGACATTAGGTCATCACGCGGTCTCTGGAACTTATCGATGCCCGTCGGGACATTCTGGCTAGAAGCGAACACGAGAATCGCAAAGACCTCAGGACAAAACTCCGTGCTACCCTGATGAGAGACTGTGAATCCTGGCGGTCTTACCGTGCATCAAAAATGGATATGGCCACTGCCCTTTGTAACCACCGGCATTTATTCCATTGGATACGCCAAACGGGTAACAGGACACCTAGTGTTAGTGGACAGCCTATCCGCAACTTGTCAAAACACTTGGGCGTTGGGCTGAACACCTTGAAAGGCAATTTTATCCACCGGAATTGTCAGATTGCTCGCCGGCCGCTGATCGCCCCGTTCCCGGGGCTGTCCCTCTGGATTGGCCCTCTCACTCAGAAGTCGAAGGTGAGATCGGACTGCTGAAATTGAATAAAGTCGTTGGAGCATGATTTTCATCTGGCCTTCTTCAAATTAGAGGTACCTGCTCTTGCTGCCAATTTACACGAGCTACTTGTGAAATTGTGGGAGCAGGAAACTATCCCAACCGGCTGGAGCCCCTCGTTATCATCCCGATCTCTAAGGGGAGCTCACGTTAGGAATGCGGCAATCAGAGAGGAAGTAGTTGATCGGCGTCAACTCCAAATTGCTTACCTTTGTCAGCTTTCACAAGCTGAATGGCACCCGTGAAAGTCAGACTCGTGATAAGCAAGCTAAGTTTCGTCGAGATCAGAGCTGCATCGATTACATCTTTACTTTGCGTTAATTGTTGGCGCACCGTCACGTACATTGGCGACCCACCGTAATCGTGTTCCTTGACATCAAAGGTGCCCTCGATTACGTTGATGGATGTACCTTTGGGCTGTCTACTCAGGAATGGTGCGCCGGTAATATGTAAATTTTACCCAATCGATTTACGCGCGTAGTTCGGCAAGCTGTAGCCGCTCTGCAATATCTCAGGCGGTGTAAGACAATAATGCCCGCTGTCCCCTTTTCTCTTCAACTTCGTTACTGACGTAGTCATGGAGATCGCGCTCACAGGACACGACTTAGGTGTGAAGCTGAACGCAGGCGAACGACTGTTTGACCTGGAGTATGCTGACGACATCGCCCTCATCTGCAACAGCTCATAAAAGCGCCATGCTGCACTAGACAGATTAGCACTTGCTGTCAATCGATTGGGCTTCGCTTTGAATTTTTAAAATGCAAAGCTTTCCTCCGGGATTGGCAGGGAGTGCCTCCTGCACTGACCCTTCGTGGTGATTAGCTAGAAGTCGTACAAATATTCAACTACCTGGACAGTTGTATCAACGCATGTGGAAGTGAAGAACAGGCCAAAAACCGTATAGCAAAAGCTCCAACCGCTTTGCTAATCCCCGCCACCTGTGGCGGCGGCGCGACATCATCTTCTCCCTGAAGAGTAGAGTTTACAATACAGCCGTAGGTTCGACCCAGCTGTACGGTTGTGAAACCTGCATCATTGGATCGGCAGGCATAAAGAGACTAGTTACGTTCGACCACCGGTGCTTTCGCAGTTTGGCTCACATCTTGGTGGGAACACAGCCTGAGCAAAGAGCGTGTTCTACGCATCCTGTATGACTAACGTGCATAATGATAAGGATGAACTACTGCATTCTTCGGAAACGACGGTTACCTCGAAAATTGTGTAGACCTGGACCACGGTAGAAAAATAACAGCCAAACTGGCAGGCATGGGCGAATAATTGTCACATGACAACAACAACAACAACAACCGGTTGATCTATTCATAATAATATACCATTTATTTATTGATGTACATCGAGTGCGTTTAAGCAGTAAAACTTCGCAGCGCACTAAAAGCTTCAACAATATGATGCTTCGATATAAACGTCTATCACTAAATTTGTTGGCATTGAAATTTGTACAGTGTGAGATGCACTTGGATATTGAAAACAAAAAGAACAGGGACCAATAACTAGGATACTGTTGATTCAACCAAAGTAGCGTGGCACGATCAACGGTGACACTAGGAAAGAAACAAAAGCAAACGATGCTGAAGCGTTCAGTGATATACGCACTCAAATGTACAGCGTTGACATGTTTTCGTAACGTGTCCCTCTCAGCAAACGACTTCGCACAGTGTTCACATGTGTGCGGGCGTTGACCTGGAGGGGAAAAAGGAGATCAATTAGATGTGAATCACACAAGACACCCATAGAATGCAATAAAGCAAAATAGAGAGTAAAATGATAGAGGTTGGATTCATCAGAATCAGATTGAGTCATACAGTCAGCACAGGATCGGAAAGATATTGGACGGTCGTTTCATTGTTTCTGGAATCAGTGGCAGCGCGCATTCGATTTGTTCTCTGTAAAAGATTCCAATAAAAAGGAGCGCAAAAGGATGAAATAAGCTATTAAGAGGATAGCGATCGAGCGAACCAGAACAGTTCTAGACTCTACCACAGAAGGATTAAACTAACCCTTAAGCTCTCAATTGTATCTTCAAGAGGTCCCAAGGTGTCATTTTTGGTGACCCTGCCGTAACTACAGCAAGTGATCTTATGGTGATTAGAATACTTTTATAAAATCAGCACATTGTGTAACCGGTTTGTTATAGTATGGAAACGAAACAGTTATGTTCCGTGGTTCCAACTGCAGCTTGCGTGTAGTACTTACCAAAGTCCGAATTCCTAGTAACGAAGGTGAAAAACTGCGCCGCCTCATCGCCTTTGAGCGGCCAGGAACGTATTCGCCTAAAAAGTAGAGCTCAGAGGCTATCCGTGATTCCACTTGGATAGACGATCGAATAACGACGGCAGTACCGCCCGATACATCCGGTCTTCGCTGTGTGAGAGATTTTTGTACACCTACCGAAGCAGTAACCGCAAGTAAGAGCAGCTATGGTGCCCGAGTCCCCTCGGACGCAAAGTGCTGCTCGTGTGTGCGGACTATCGAATTTTCCTGAGCCACAGCTTAGATGGATTGCCGCAACTCCGAAACCAAATGAGTAGTCTCATTTTCTACTCACATTAGAGTTCTGTAGTCCGCAAACAATCCATCGCAGAGTTCTCATCACAAGGATGGAGCTTCTGCTACTGAAATTTTCATCTACTGCAGTCAGCTTATAATTATTGCAAAAAAGACTTCGATAATCTAACTGTAGCCACAAACTAAGGGGACTAATCTCTACCACAGCAGTCAACCACAGACCGATTTTGGCCAACGTAGCAGAGTGGAATGCAAAGGTTCTGCTATAGTTGTTCCAGTCAAAGGATCTGACGCCGTACAAAAAGGTTCCATGTCAAGTGACTCATGTCTCGCCAACCTACTCGTGAAAAGGAACCTATGGCTACAGTCCACAAACCGGGAGAAGTCTCTCGACCTGAAGTTCATCGACCTCATCGAGACATTCAAAAAGAACGGATCGTGAGGCCCTCCACCACAAACTGACAGTGTTGTGTTGGTGATTTCCTGCATCGCATAATACAGGAGATACTTGCTGGACGAAAGTGAAAAGTGTATATCGATGACCACCTAACCGACTTGTGTTCTATGGGACGGTGCTGAGTTGTACTTTGTCCGCAGTCTACATCAAAAATCTCCGATCACCGTGTACCTTGTTCCACCGTTATTTCACCCACCATGCTCCGATGGCTCGGCCAAGTGTTGCGCATGGCAGCCCACGACTCCCGCGAAGTACGTTGTTTGCGCGGCAGGTGTAGGGATAAAGAAAAGAAGAGGTGGCCAAGCGATGACTTGGCCGAGAGGAATGAAGGCCCTCACTTCGAAGCTGGCCTTGGTTGGAGCGTCTCTTCTCCCTGGTTGGGGTCCAAAAGACGATGAACACGTTTGGCTGAATACACTTGCTGATATGGCTAGGAGCCGACCTCCATGGCGTTCGTGCTGTGCGTTCCTTTGCCTGTCCCATCTCTCTTACCCTCCCCCTCCAACTACGATCTCACTACGAAGCCTTATATAATTTTGCATATTGGCCGGCTAGTAGCTTAAAGAAACGATGTCCATCCACTACCGGTAGCTCAGCTGGCTTGCACCTGTTTCATTTTTTCCGTTCTTTTCTTTTATGTATTGCGGCACAGTAGCTGAGGTGCTTCCCACCTCTAGCTAACGTGTATACTGATGATGTGTACCTTGTTCACCGACGGCTGTGGATCATTTGAGCAAGACCTAAAACATCTATGAGTATGATCTAAAGAAACCCGCGTTCCGTGCCGGTATTTAAGAGACTGGAAAGTAAGGATGACAGTTGAACCAACACTATCGCAGGGAGACTGTACCTTAACATGGTACAATGGCTTGTGTGCCTCAGTGATCCATTGAGATATGCTGGGTGGTGCTTTTTTGCACCTTCAGACTCACTCATACCAGACTGGTCAATAGTTAGAGGCCAGATAAACTCAGTCTCCGGGCCCTCCACGTTGGGGGGGGGGGTTGGAGTGAGGGTGGCTCCTTACTACATAAAACGGGATCTTTGTAGTTCAGTGCCAAAACCCCGCTGCCTTGGTTTAAAACCCTAATCGATCCTCACTCTAGGCCTGGGCCATCTGACAGTATCCTGCCCACGCAATACAATGAACCTTTCTACTAAAAAGTGCTTGATGCTCCGGCTATCGCAGAGGATACTCAATTGCGCCATATCTGTAGCATCGAGCAGGGTGAAGAGGGGTTTGGATGCTAATGCTCATGCCTTTCCGCTTTCCTATCCCCCATCTTGCGCTCTTTCCTTAGCGATCCGCTTTAACTTTACTTTTAACCCCCCATTTCCAATCCCCCAATTCTTGGCCCTCCCCACGTTGCTTCAATAGCCGCTTGTCTTCTAGTTTCAACTCACACACAATCGCAGAGCGTCACTCCAGTCCAGTCGACAAATTCATGTTTAACCAAGCGGGCAACGTTAGTTCTTCCTTTTCCTTGTGGAGTCCTCGATCCTCGCAGAAACTGGCAAGCCTCAACGTGCGCACTTTGCTACAGATTGGCCAACAAGCATCACTTGCCCGAACTTGACTCTATCAATCGATATTTGCTGTTTACCGGGAACCCGCCAACAAGATCCGAGCTTTGTGCCTATCCTGCGATCCCCCACATGCAACACTGGCGGCACATTTACATCGCGCCTGTCTGGTGATAACGCAGATTAAAATGCAAGTCAAGCTGGCGTCAGCACTGTTTTGAGTTCCCTCGAACTCTCGAGATGTTGTGCCTACACGGGTACATCTTACATTTTACAGATGCCTTCACGCTGACACTTAAATAATTTAGGGGAAAAGCTATTGGTACGAGTGCCATACAGGACAGTGAGATCAAGCTGTTGTGAATAATTAAGGTGAGCATAGCTTCCCTCCAACATGTTCGAAGCTTGAGATAAGGCTGTTCGACCTCAGGTGTTCAAGCAACGTTCAGTCAAGATACCGAATAAAGGTGGAAAATAAATACTGAATAATGAGAATAGACAGCGAGAATATAAAAATCAGTGGCGCTCCATGGTAGGTGGATGGGGCACATGAGCTGATTCCTGCGTGGTGGCAGCATATTGCAACTGCACTACATGTTATCCGGGTGCGATACGCTCCCTGTACATGTAGTGCACAAAGTGAGTGTCAAAGAATCTCTTAAATCCCGACGCCAATTTCGGCCCGACTAGCGTCTCCGGCAATTTGTTCCAATATTTCACTACTCGACGCTCGAAGAATAGAGGATGAATGACGTACATTAAATTCGATAGCACAAATTTGTACCGGTGTCCGCGTGTGCTGCTTGGTACGCATAAGTGCAGCAATGGCTTCAACATAGGGAAGTGGACCAGGTGTAGTATCCGGTCCGTCATAATAAGATAAACTCGAAGCTGACGATATGACAGGATATGCGTACAGCCCAAGTCTCCTACATCGGTCCTTGTACGACATACCCCGTAAAGTGGAGATGAGCTGGGTAGCCACATGCTAAACCCGTTCCAGTCACTGCACCTCACAAATTATGATTGGACAATAGGCGGGTGAGCCGTACTCAAGCACAAGTCTTATCATGGAAGAGAACAGATAAGTGGAAATCTCTTCAGACTAAGTGCAGAAGCTACGTCGAAATTGCCAAAGCAGGCGTAGTCTGTTTGCGTACAGTCTGTTTGTCCAGTCGACAGACTTCAGGTCACAGCTTGAGAGTACGCCTAGATGCTTTACGGAACTGGTGGGATGTAGCGGGTGGCCGACTAGGTTGTAAGCACGTCCAGTACCACCCCTCCCCAGGATCATAAACGAGGACTTCGCCAGCTTGACCGGTAGGTTAAATTTTGCAGTCCAGCGGGATAGGCGGTCGAGGTCCTGCCGAAGGACGTCACAGTCGTCGGGAGGATCAATAATTCTCCAAATCTTCAGGTCGTGCGCAAACAGTGCACAATGCGACTGAAGGAGTTGAGGCAATTCGTTGAGGTGGATCAGGAATAAAATGGGCCCCAGTACTGTGTCTTGGGGTACACCGCTAGGGGACGGGTAACATACGGTTAGGTGGTCATCCACCTGAACCTGCCATCGTTTCCCAATAATGAAGAAACTGATCAACTGGTGTAGTGCGCCATCAACACTACATATCCTCACCTTGTAGAGCAGGCCTTCATGGCTCACTTTATCGAAAGCTTTACTGAAATCAACGTAGATAACATCCAATGAATTCCCAGATTCGACGATTGTAACCATTTCTGCAGTGTCAACAGCAGGTGAGTGATGCACGAGTGGCCATTCGTGAAGCTGTGCTGTGTCTGCGTTAGGAGATCTTTCGACTCCAGCAGCTGGAGAAGACCCATTTTCATAATCCTCTCGAGCACCTTCGCCAAAACAAAGGTGAGACAAATCGGCCGGTAATTGTCCACATTGCGCGGATCACTGTTTTTGGGAATCGGTTTCACTACCGAGCATTTCTAGTCGCTCGACAATGCACCCTCGGACAGCGACCTGTTGAACAGATCCGTCACGGTAAGCGATATAATGGCCGATAAGGACTTCAAAATTAGCGGGTGAAGTTCATCTGGTCCGGCATGCCTCGTGTCATCAAGACTGGCGAGTAAACTGTGGACATTTCCACCATAATTCAGGTCATCGAGTTCAGTAGGAGCTGCACACATCGAGCTCGGCATAAGCGTATGCCCACGTGGAAATATGGAAGAGAAGTGTTCCGCCTATGTGGACTCACGTTCAGTGCTGACGGTCAAAAGCTGTTCGTCAGTGTCCTCTAACAAAGCTACGCCACTTCACGTAAGCAAAAATCTTCTTGGGAGTCTCCTTCGCGGAGGCTGACAGCACCTCATCGAACTGCTGACGCTTTCGCGCTGTTGCATAGATTTCGCTGCGTTTTGTACACCCCATAATTGTCTGCCGAGCCAGACACGGGGAAATTTATCCCACAATACGCGTCGACGTCGAGCCAACTGACCAAACGCTGTCGAACCAATGTGGCTTCATTGGTCCAGCCTCTCCATATAGGAGGGGTATAAAACATGCGCACAACAATTGCACATCCCGTTTTATAACAAACCAACAGACTTCAACAGGTGAATCCTGCGGCAGCGACCACTCCACTTTACTAGCGGCTCAATTAAGACCATCGAGGTCGGTCTTCTAATAACTGTAGGACAGCTCTGGCGGACGCGAGTAGGGCAGCGGCAGCTCTAGGGTGGCTGACACCATCAAGTGGTCATTAGCTGCCAGAGGCTGCATGACCTGAATTTCATGCACACGTAGCTCGCAACTGGTTAGTAGTGGGTCCAGGCACGATGCAGCGGAATGCGGTGTAACGCAGAGTTGTTGTGCTGCCAAAGTTTCAAATAGCATATCCGCAAACTGCTCTTCGATCTCACAATGCCCAGGGAGAAGTTAAACCTCAGGCCACCGTATTCGAGAGAAGTTAAAATCACCCATAAGGAAGAAGCGGGGCCGACTCAGGTAGCTTCTGGCATGCGGCAACCAATCCAGGCATCGACTTCGCGGGCTGTGAGAAGGTGAACCCTCAAAGCAGTTCACCCAGTCTCAGGAGGATCGAGCACGGTAACCGTTCGAACAGGTCATCTTCGCTGTGGTAGGTGTGTAACAGTCTCCCGCACAGCGAGGACTGAATGCATAACAGCGCACCGCCTCGAAGGTTTGATAGTCAGTAGCATGGGAAGGACGAATAGCCAACAGATGTGAAGTTCCTGCGTAGTGACCTCAGGAGTTAACCAGTTTTCGGCCAGCCCTAGTATGTCCGGAAGATAAGAGATAACGAATTGAAACACATCGTCACGCTTGTTCATTAAACTACAAACATTTGTGAAGGCCCATCTTCATCATAAGTACACGTTAGCTGACGGTGAGAAACAAACCTCAGCTAATGTGCCGCAATACAAAAAATGGGAGACTAGAAAATTACACTACAAAACTAGGATGTTAAACATTATATTTCGCGTTTTGCATGAGATCGGGATTGGAGAGGGAATCTAAAGGGAGGGGGATGGACAGAGAAACTCACAACACAAACGCCACTGGAGCCGGCTCTTCGCCATATCAGCAAGTGTGTCCAACCAAACGTGTTCATCATCCTTAGGACCCCAGCCAGGCAGTCGGGATGCACCAACCGACGCCAACTTCGAAGTGAGGGTTTTCATTCCTCTCGACCAAGTCATCGCTTGGTCACCTTTCTTACTGTTCCTGCCGTACCCCCGATGCGCAAACAATGCACGTCGCGGGAGTCGGTGTGTTGGCATGCGCAACACGTGGCTCAGACATCGGAGCCTGGTGCTTGATATAATGGTGCTGAGCGGTTCACTCGCTCTTCCTGCACCAAATACGCGACGCCAAACACGCGCATTGCTCACGCGGTGCTCCCACTAGACAGGAGCTAAGCTGCGAAGGCAGTGATGGTCGAATGTGACTAGCACAACCGTTTAGCGCGCTTCCATACCTGAGGAACTAGCTACAGTTTGCATGCACTCCGTGTAGTGCTGCTCCAGCGCCTGGCGTAGAAGGAATATATAGTTCCAAACAGAAGCCGAACTGATCTTCCCTCATTAGGGAATGTAGCAATGATGAACAGAGACATAGGTAGTTCCCAATCCTGAAGCGAAGCTCTGTACTTGGATGGGGCAAAATACAGACCATCATTAGATTCGTCCATCGCTAAGCCGAACAAAATGCTTTGGACGGGCTGTGCGTCATTTTTCCGGCAAAACAATGTCAGCATAAACCAGGTTTATCAATCTGTCCCCGGGGAGAAACAACGCCACAGCTATGGGCTCTATCCAGCACGTGGTGGAGAACATCGATGTATAGTTGAACGGGAACGGCGAGATAGGACAACTTGGACGTATTAAGATGACAATGCACAGAGCAGAATGTCTGCAATAAGATCTAACTGCTAGAAGGGGGACTACACGGTTCTTTTGCGATTACGACCAACTTGTCGGGTATCCTGTCCCTTAGTAGCCAGTCCCATAGCGATGAATTACCTACTGAGTTAAAAGTAATTCGAATGTCCAAGGACGGCATGATTTTTAGTCTTCGGTGGGCACGACGATGTTCGAGCATCTGGTCGACCCAACCTAGGTCCGCACGAAAACAGTCTTCTCGCCGCTAAATTCTCTCGGGTAACAGAAAGCTTAAGAAGCATGACGGAAACAAAGACATCGAGTCCGACAGAGGAAAGTGAGATTCTCCGGTAGTTGGTGCATTCACTATGGAAGCGTTTCTGGAAAATCGGAACTACGAGTTATAGATAACGAGTAACGATTTCACAATACAATCTAAGCATGCGAAATGCCCGTGGATTAGACACACTATTAGTGCATATGGCTTCCACTCAGCAGAATCCTAGTTGCTATGCATGTTCACACCCACCAGAGGGGTCAACACACTGCAAGCATTCACTGACGAATGTTCCATTTGGAAAAGCGATGCAATCCCCTCCTAAAAGCACAAAAGCTACACGCAATTCTAACTAGGGTCACGATTTATTTGACAATGAACTACAGACCGTAAGTGAAACCAGAGACTGTTTCCCTAACCAGTATACGAGAGCCGAACGATTAAAGCGATACACCTTTCACAACACGGCAGTTCATCTTGTAAACTAAGCACCGTGTGGAATAAGATGTTATTGCGTCACGAAAAATAAACGAGGAACCATTAAGTAGTATATTTCTAATCAAAACAAAGTTGCGTGATACGATTAACGGTGACACAAGATAAGCATAAAAATCTACCTGAATTAAATCTTACAGTTAAACTCACCTAAGTGGACAGAGTTGACATGTTTTCGCAGCGTTTCCTTCTCAGAAAAGGACTTCGTACAGTGTTCACATGTGTGCGGGCGTTGACCTGGGTGTGGAAAACAAGCGGTTAAGTACTCACGTATCACACGAAAGTAAGCCCGTAGAATACAATAAAGCCATCACAAAACCGGAAAAGTAAGGGACAGTCGTTGCGTTCGGTCGTGAATCGTCAGCAGTGCGTATTCCAGCTCTCCCCAGTGGGGCTAGAAGCTATGACTCAATCATTACGCCATCACATCTAGTAGCTTAGTAGTTGCAATCTCATCGACACGCATGGATAATGCGAGGGACACCTTTATGCGCCTGATCATATAAATACGAAGAGGAATAACTGATAAATGTACAATAAGCTTGCATGTTTACCAGTATCACACATGGTCATGTGTATATGCATAAGTTTAGGTATGTGGCGAGAGAGTACATAGCTGGTTGAGGCATGTGATGAAGAGATCCTGATAGATCGTTGACACATTGCTGCACAAGTTCTACCGTGCACGCAATGTCTTGAATGCCACATCCTGGCGACCGGTGGTTAGGAGTTGGGATACACCCTTCTTATGGCTAAAAGCCAAAGCAAACACAATTCCGCATGAGTCGGTTCACTGACTCACGGCGTAGTGCCCGCCGTCTTTCGGGACTAAATTGTTTCGGAGGCTGTGGCAGAACACCAGTCTTTTTTCTGTTCAGACGTAGGCGTCCTAGTAGTGCACCAGTCCAAAGAAAATGAGTTGTAAGAACACAGATAACCTCACATTACATCGGCCGTCCCGCAATGGTGGAGGTGGGGCACGAAAAGGGTCGCTTTCTCTGCTACATACAGTAGGGTGGATAAGCGAAAAAATGCTACCGCTGACACCCACTATGTTCCCCTGCAAATTCTCCTCGCCCTGTCTCCATTTCTTCCAACCGACCACCTCCTCAAACACAGATCACTACTCGTGCGATTGCCGGCAAAATCTTATGCCGCTGCGCAGAGCGCTCAAAATTGTCAGTTCTAACGTGCGCACACTACTCGACCCGAACACGGGTGAGTGTCCCGGGCGACACAGCACTGGTGGTAAGAGAACTCGGATGCTACGAAATCGATACTGCCTTGATGAGTGAGACTCGGCTCTCTGACCAAGGTAATCTGCATGAGCATGGAACTGGGCACACGTTTTACTGAGAGGGGAACGACACTACATCACCAAGTGAACATGAAGCAGGATTTGCAATATCCGACCGCCTTAATGGCCACATAGTGGGGGAGCCGACTGGCATCAGTCCACGATTGATGACACTTCGACTGCATCTTGGACGCTGTAAATTCGCCACTTTTACTAGCATGTATGGTAAAACCATGTGTCTGATGACACGATGGACCAGTTTCACACTCCGTCGTGATACGGTCTGTGACGTGTTGCGACCGACTAACCCTACAGGGTGATTTCAACACGCGAGTTGGGCGTGATGCGGTAATGTAGACATACGTCATCGGTCCGCACGGAATTGGCTCAGCCAATGGGAACAGTGACCGGCTGCTCTCAGTGTGCACCACTCAAGGCCTGACAATCACGAACACCCGGTTTTCACTGGGCCAGAGTGATGTAGCTACTTGGACGAACCCACAGCGTGGTCATGCACACCTGCTCGACTATGGCATCGTACGCCAGTGTGACATGCGCATGACACGTGTACTGCGTGGAGATCAGTATGTCATCGATTACCAAATGGTGCAGACCAAATCGTGCCATTTTTCATAGATCCAGGTGTTGTTCGCATGCTGAGAACTGGCGTAAATGTTCGTTCCCTAGGTACTGATTAGAAGAGAATGGAAGTGGGAAAAGCGATGTCGGATCTATCACCTCAACGAGCGACCTGTGGCACCACATTCGTGATCAGGTGACGGTTGGGGCCGAAGAAACAATAAGGCTCACAAACCGTAAACGGCCCGATTGGTTTCATAACAATAGTGCGACTACTGACGCACTGGTGTCGGAGGAGAATGCAACATGCACTGCACATGTGAAGAACCCTGCAGATGAAGAGAAAAAGAGCGATTTCGCAAACTTTGACGGTGACTGACTTGAGAGCTCCGTCGCATCAAGAATGCATGGTGAACGAAGGCGGAGCAGATGTAATGCTACGCAGAACGCGACCAACATAAGGGATTGTTTGAATCCTTGGTGACGGTGACAGACGCTGATAGATGATACGTCTGGTGATGCTTTCATACAGACAGGAGCAGTAATGCAAATTTGGTGCTCAGATATTGACTGCGATATGTAGCACGAGATGCAACAGTAGGAGATGAAGATGTGTCTTGGCAACACACGTATACTACGTGAGACGCACATAGTACCAGCTCCGCTGCGAAACTGCAAGTACGCCGGAGCTGACAGGATACTGTTAAAAGTGCTGAAACACGGCCGACTCGCGGCGATGCATGTGCTGCAACACTTGGTGCAACAAAGCGTGTGGATTGAAGAACAGGTGTCCACTGACTTGAAGGATGCCCTTGCGCCACCACTGTACAAGGGAAAAGGGAGCAAGTAAAATGTCTACAATCATCGTGGCATCAGCTTGCTGAATTGTGTGGGTAAAATGCTCGCCCGAATCCTGCTCAAATGCCTAGTCACTTAGGTCGTTGAACCACACGCAGTGGAAGAGCAATGCGAATTCCGTTCGGGCCGCGACACCATAGATATGGTGTTCGCAACTCGTAAGTTGCGGGAGAAATCCCGAGAACGACACCAGCTATTGTACTCGCTGAGTGTAGAATTCACCAAAGTGCTTGACACGGTGAACTGCAAGGCACCGTGGTCATGATGTCCTGTGCCTTTAATGCTTGTGATCACGGTGTCCGTGTGGAGCACCAAATTTATAGTGGGTTGCTGAACATCCGACATTTCGGAGCGAGAAACTAATTGAGTGAGACAACTATCTGTATGTTGCTGTCGTCTGACGAATTCGTGTTATTTGCATATAGCATCGATGAGTTGCAGCGAACGACGGCGCACAGTTTGACAGAGGCTCAGTTCAGACTCACAACCCAAGCGAAACTGTGCTCTTTTCAGCCTACACGAGAAACGGAATCGGTAGGCTGGATGAAATATAGATTGGCGATGACATCTTGCAGACCAGGTGGCAAAATTCCTACTTTGGGACGAACTTTCTACCGACCACCAGATGAAGAGCGAACTGCGCACTAACGTATCGCGGGTGGCTGCTGCATCTGGCAAGCTGGAAAGTCGAGTGTGGAAGAGTCACAGCAGCTGACTGTTGGGACGAAGCTGCTGGTGCACCGATACCGCAGAGAAACGGACGCTATGCCGGAAAAACGTCTGATACTTAAAGTGATTTCATCAACGCTGGCTGCTTCGGAATCTGCGCATTGGCTGGGGTGACAGAGTTGCAGACACGGTGTTCCATATGGCATATGTATGCTGGGGCATCTGAAACGGCTGGGACATGTACACTGCTATTTGGCCAGCTGCGTGCAAAGAAGCGGAACACAAGAGAACCGAGGTTAGAGAACAAGTGCATGATCAAAGTAAGCTTATAATAAAACATATTGGTCGGATGTGTTAGACAGCAAAGACAATGGACCGTCGCCAATGATGTGCCGCATCAAGACTGCGTTATTGCCTGCGGAAAGGAAAAACATTGTACGGAAGCGACAAGCACCAAAGGATTCCAGTAAATCGACGTCAAGTGCATGATACTGTAGTACATGCAGTCGCGAATGAGTCAGCGACGCAAGACTGGCATGCGACCAGCGTGGCCAACATCGAAAAGTGACAGCTGGGCGAGAAAGCTGATTGCCAACGTGCGCGCGTTCGCCACAAATCGTGCTTGGGACAGACCCTGCGAGCGTGTTGCCAGGGCCCAGCCGAAAGCTGATGAAATCGTGCGTC